GTTCTGTTCTACAATATAAAGGGCAAAAGGTTAAGAATTATCTCTGTATTCAAGTTGGTTGTTTTAGAAAATGTTTTTCCCAACCCTGTTTGAAATAAAAAAATAAATAAATTAAAATTATTACATCATCAATAGTATTAGACAGTTAAATTGCATGTGGCCAGGGTAATATGAGCATATTTCATATAGATAAATAAATGGATGCATGGATAGGTAGATATGAATTATAAATCTAATTATGAATCTCTGAACACATCAGATAGTCATGTTCAAAGACCTACTATAACTTCATGTTGATTATGTTCTTGATATTATCTGTGCTTTGATATCATTTACCATTCTTTTATATATATATATATATATATATATATATATATATATATATATATATATATATAAATTATTTATGTACAGAGAGAAAGGGAGAGAGATAGAGAGCTAGAAACATCGATGAGAGAGAGTCACCGATCAGCTGCCTCCTGCACACCCCCTACTGGGGACATGCCTGCAACCAAGGTACATGCCCTTAACTGGAATCGAACCCGGGTCCCTTCAGTCCTCAAGCTGACGCTCTATCCATTGAGCCAAACCGGTTTCGGCTCATTTACCATTCTTAACATAATAACTCTGTGTTTATGTAATTACTAGAGGCCTGGTGAATGGCATTCGTGCACTGGGGGTGGTCTTTCAGCCTGGCCTGTGCCCTCTCACATTCAGGGACCCCTCGGGGGATGTCCACTGAGGGGTCCTTAGTGCTGCAGTGGGGGCAGGAGAGGCTCCAGCCACCACCACTGTGCTTGCCAGCCATGAGCCCGGCTTCTGGCTGAGTGCACTCCCCCTGTGGGAGCACACTGACCACCAGTGAGCAGCTCCTGCATTGAGTGTCTTCCCTGTGGTGGTCAGTGCATGTCATAGCAACCAGTTGTCTGCCATTTGGTTGATTTGCATGTTATGCTTTTATTACATAGGAACATTTTTTTTAAATGAATGGAAAGGCAGTATGTCAGGAAACACATTGTTCCCTCTTCTTAAACTTTGCAATGTGTACATAAGTGTACATGACTGAAATGCATAAAAAATACTGAGAATTTAAAAATACATGCCTTTCTTCACATTGTTCAAGACAAGAGTTTACAAAGAAGGCTCTTCTTTTATTATCAAACTAAAATACATAAATATGTAAATGGCAAAACAGTGACTGATTTTTATCCCCACCCAACAGAAGGAGAAATCATATTTTAAATGGAAATTTATTTTTGAAATATTATGAAGTGGACAACAATGCATTTTAACTTAAAAGTACTAATTCATATTCTTCATACAGCAACATAATATTTGTTAAAGAAAAACAGGTGTTTGGATAAAGAAATTGGGAAAGCAGTGAATGTGTTGATAATTTCCGAACTATAGACAATGTTCAAGTCTTTCATATATGTGCTTAACTTACCATCAATTTAAAGTAGATTGCACTAAACAGAAGAACCTAAAAAGTAAAGATTGTTATTATAAAGGTCAATAAATTCAAAATCAAAGGAAAAGTAAAGCAAAGAATTCCATGTTATTATTTGAGGAGAAACTACCAATAAAAATAGAAGTCCTCAACATTATTTTTGAACCTATCCCTTAGCCATATCGCTATGTTATTTCCAGGCACCAATGGGCATCTGCCCTGAGAATAGATTATTAGCTCTTTCTGCATATTTTACTAATTGAATGAAGTGGCATATAAGCCCTACCTATGGTACAAAGTGCAGAAAGTGAAGAACAAGAGAAAATGCAAGACTCATGAGATAAAAAATAAAAAAAGTCTTCCCTCAAGAATCAATATTCATTTTTCCTGGCTCTATGACACATAAATGCAATTAACAATATTTTAATAGTTGCTATCATAGCCCATTTGGAAGAATCACTTAGGATAAATAACATGTTTCAACATCTGTTACCAATGTAGTCTAATACCATGGATGACATACCACATACAAAATTCATGGCAAACACTTTTACTGGATTAAAAAGATCTTTTGGCCAACCTATAGTTATAATTATATGATGACTCTGAGTCTATAATCAGTGAAAAAGAGAAGTCTAGACAGAAATATTATATTGTGATTTGATGGTCATTGAATCACAAATGTCATATTGATTCTGTTTTTTCAATCTTCTTCCCCTTTCTCTTCATGCTTATGAGACTCTCTTCAAAACAACAGGTTTATAAATATGATAGTTGTATTAGTCCATTCTCAGCGTAACCAGCCAAGATTTGCTATTTTTTTTCTGCCTGATTAAAAGCTGGTACTGATTAAGGATGATGACAAAAAATAAAATAAAATAAATTGCTCTTCCTGTCTAGAAAAAATAACCGCCACGTTCTTTATAAACATTTACGTAGAAACATCATATATATATATGAAGTGTTCTTAAGCTTAAACATACTTGGATAGCTCCCCTGGGTTTCACAATGTTAATCCTGAGTCAGTTTCTTAAAATAGTGAAAGTCCTTTCAAAGTAACTACTTAATCAGTCTAGATTTATGTAGTTAGTTGATAATGTTTCTGCTGATGAATATACTTTATCTCAAAATATACTGGCCAAATATTTGATTTTTTTTCCTCTGTGTAAATACTGTTATTTTCATACTATCTCTACTAACATGGGGTAGGTTGACTTCATGTTTGTTTTTACTAAAATGATCATCTGGAAATTGCTGAAATATGTCTGCTGAGTAGCTTGTACTGTTTTGCATATTTCATTGTAAAATTGAACTTTAAAATACAGTGACATCTCATATCTCAGGGCATTAGTCTTCTGACAAATTCAGGTTTTTAAAACAGTGCTTAGACATCAATAGTGACCCCAAAAAGCTTCTGGGAGTCACAAAACTTTGATTTTTGAATCCACATTATCTGGTCCCTTTCTCAGGTTTAATAATCTTTTAATAACAAGTAAAACAAACAAAGACACAAACTTTCTCACCAGGAAATTAGAAGTAAACGGGAAGATACGTTTTAGAGAGAGGCACAGTGACAGAATTAGCTAAATATCATAGCCTGAATTTGGACAAAGCAAAAGGAATCCATAAAACTGTATGCAAAGAGAATCTGATGGGATACTAGTTGATATCCCAGAATATCAGGAAAACGTTCAATTATATTTAGTGATCTCTAAGTGAGCAAGTACAAAAATATAATGTGCTTAATCTAATTCCTATCCAAAATATTTTATACTAAAATCACTTTGGTGCTTCAAGAAAGCCCTGGATTTTAATGGTATAGATAATTAATTTTCAAAATTTAATATGCATAATAAACACCCTTGGGATCTTGTAAGAACATGGATTCTTGTTCAGTAGACCTGAGAATGTAGCAAGAGTCTAACTTGTTAACAAGCTCTCACTTAATGCTGATAGTGTTTCTAGCAAGGTATGTATGTAATGTATTAATTTTCAATAATGTCAGATGAGATGTCACTGTATTTGATCTCAAATACTTTGGAAACCTTGAATTAAAACATACTACTCATGTAAGTTGGCCAGTTTGTTATATACAACCCATTCACTTTAGAAATAAGGAAATAATACTATATTAAACTATTTTAAAAATAGGAAACATGATAGCAAAGTAAATATAGAGCACTATTCAGTCTTTCAACCATACAATCTGCATGCATAAGAGAATTTTACTTAAATCTAAACTTGGTCAGTGCTGGGCAAAATTTGAGGTGAGTTGTATCTATAGCATACTAAATCATGTTCAATAGAATTATAAATTCTCTTAAACTATTGTTTCAGTTCATATTTGAAAAGTATGCAACACAATGGAAATTTTAAAACAATACTTTGTTTTCATTTATGTTAATGGGGAAACACTGTGCTTTGTTCAAAGGTTTACCTTTGATTAAAAAATGTTGGGCAACCATTTTCTGGTTCTGTGTCTTATGAATGTAAATATATTTGTATTAAAATATTCTATAAACTGGAGCTGGAAGAAGTGATATGCTATAATATATATGAATCTATGGTTTTATAGCTTTTATAGGCATTTCACATATATGTAAATTTTTAATTCTACCAAATTCCTTTATACTGAGTTGATAAGATATTCATGTCTAATGATATTAGGATGAGACTTCTCTGATCCTACTATATCTTTCTTACCGAAATTGTGGTTCTAGATGCATTATGGCCAATTTGACCCTTTCCTATCTCAGTAACATTTTACTGAGATTTCTATGATGCTCCAAATAATTATCTAACTTCAGATGGCTAAACAAAATTGACAATTATGTTTGGTATGAAGAATATTTGTAGTGCGTATTTATGTGCAGTGAGCGGGCCACACTAGGGAAAATTGTAAATGATATTTATAAAAGAGATATGATCTCAAGTGTTCTTAAAAAGTCAACATATACATAGGTGAAAAATTAATCTTTATACTAGACAATAAGGAAAATAGACTCATGATTCTAAATCACTTACAGAAAATTTCCACACTATCACTTTGCCATTCTATCTTCCAGTTAAAAAAAGTTAGAAGTTCTAGACAGCAATTGTATAAACCCACTACCCTGTAAAATTCTCTAATACAAATTTTCCCCATTTTTTAATGAAAAGTAAAATGTACTAAAAAAAAAAAAATCTAGGAAGCTAGAGATGACAATTTATGTTAACCAAAAAATATAACTATTTAGTAAATTATTTCTTGTTTATTAAAATGAGGAAAAAAATGCAAGACCCATTATAACAACTAAATGTTTAAATGATATACCGTATTATCTTGTGAATTGAGAGTCTGTCCCAAAAGACTTTCCGGGAAGAACAATCAATTGATACAAATGTCAGTGCAAATCTGTCAATTTTTAAAAATTTTAAAGCATATTCAAAGTTTTAGCTTGTGTGCATGATACAAATTCCATACATTATTTTCTCAGTGACAATAAAAAGCACAGTTTATTAAAAACTGAAGTAAAAATCAAAATAATCTTTTTTTAAAAAAAAACATCGGTCACAGTTTTGTCATTGGTATGTGGAGGTTGTTCCAAGGGCCCATCCAAAGCTCCTCCTCATCTGACTGCGTGTGGTCACTCTGGAATTCCAAAGCTTCCTGAACACTCTTCCTGTCCATCACAGACTCCTGTTCAACTGTGCTTTTCAGCCTGCTCCCCAGTGGCTTCACTGCCATACTGTCAGTCCCCAGTGGGCAAGGGGCAAATGTAACCAGAGTTGGTCTTGTGTTCATTTTCTCAGTAGAAAATGGCCCCTTGGACAGAGTGTTCAAGGGGATATTCTCCTCATGAGTCACTGCCAACTTGTCTAGTTTCTTAAAATGCCTCCCCAGTCGCACAGGGGAGGCCCCTTTAAAGTTATCCAGGAGGCAGGCCCGGCGGGTTCTCACCACAGAACCATTCTGGGCAATGTAGATATTGCCGTTGACATTACTGTGGATATTAGGAGGGTGGAGACGGCTTCTCTGACATTCAGGAGTGCTGTCTTCTCCAGTTGAGCTGGTTTCATAATCTCCATCAACAACTAACTTGATCATTCTTTTTCTTGCCCACTGTCAAAATAGAAACAATAAGTGAGACATCATCGGAGAAATTAAAAGGGCAAAAATTACAATGCCTGTCCAGTTCAAAAAAAAAAAAAAAAGCTATCAAAGGTATTATAAATCAAAAGAAGTAGAGGGAAGCAACTCTATTTATACCAGTTTCTTTCCCACCAATTCTTCATTGAGTTTACAGCTTAATAACTTCTGAAGAAAGTGTTGCTGAGTTAGGAAGTAGACATTTATTTTAGGAAGCATGTGCATTCTTTTAGATAAAATTGCTGCTTTACAAGGAAAACAAAAAGGCATATTATTTATATCCAGCTAAGGATCTGTCCATTGTTTGACAGATGCTATACTATTCAGGAAAGCTAAGTGGAAAGGAATGTATAGCATTAGCGTATTCTGTTCATGCTAAAATTTCCATGCATGCTCTGTGGTGTAAAGATATTTTTAACCCACATTGTTCTAATTCCCAATTAACCCTTCATTGTTGTTTCATTTATTTTGTATAATTTAGTGCTTTTATTCCATTGAAGTGTCCTGGTTGGTGTTTTTCGTTTTTCACATTGAAATTCATGTTAACTTAAAAGAAACTATTTTCCCATCCTGATAATTTATTTAGTAAAAGTGAAAACTAATTATTATAAATTTTCCTTTTGTAAGCAACTGAAACACAATGGACATTTTCACAAATTTACTTTTATCATTCCACATTAGAAATGGCAAGGAGCAAAGGTGAAACAATACTAGGTTATTCTCAAAACAATATTACATTTTCAGGATGTGTGAATTCCCAGCCCATTGCCCTAAGTAAGCTATGCTTTTTGATTTCAGATATATTTCTTAAAATTTTTATGTTTACTTACCTATAAAATTGCATAAATGTTATTACAATTTAATTTTTCCAAATTCACTCTTAATTCATATCCACAACAGAATTGTAGAGAATTGAATTTTTTAAAAAAATGTATTTTATTTAACTTCTGATATTTGAAAGTGCCAACTACAAATTCATTTGAACCTGTTCATGATATTTATGATAACGCCTTTGCCAGTTGAAATGTAGACATATTCAAACATGCAAAAGTCGACTTTTAGAGATTTCATTTGTTGCCATTTGTCCTTAGGAGTTATTTTTAAAAGATGATAGAAAGACCACCACAGGTATTTATGGAGCACATTCTGAGAGAGAGGGCATCCTTGCACTCTGTAGTGCCACACTACATTAAGAGAAATCCCACTAGAAAATATTCACTGGTTGCATGTCATGTCTTCTGAATGACTCATATGGGACGTATGAGTCTGTTTAAAGTAATATACACATCTATGTGGGTGGCATATCTATCCACTTTTCTAACATGTTCCTAACCTTAAATCGGATCAAAATCGTGATCAGGTTTCCTCCCCTTCAAGTGTCACTTCAGAGAGCACACAGAAGGCACTGCACACAAGAGCACTCATCACTGCAAAACCCCCACCTACTGTGCTCGCTTCTAAAGGGCTGTGTTGTAGCCCTCGGCTTCGGCTCCCGGAGGCTTCCTTTGGCTGGAGCTCCTGCTTCGGTCATACTCTGGCACCTGGAAGCCCCAGGGGCCTCCAGACTGGCTTTCGCTACTGCTGGTGGTGCTGGATTCCTCCTCACTTCCCACACCTTCCACCGAAGCTGATCCCATGCTGCCCTCCTCAGTCACGTCTTGAGGTTCAAGGTCAGTTGGTTCTTCCATGGCCAGCTCACTTTCCTCTCCTTCTGCCGGGGGTGCCTCTTCTACCTGAAGTTCTTCTGGTTCCTCAGGAGGCTGCCGCTTTTTGCCTTTGACCTCCACAACTTCTTCAACCACGGGCCTTCTTCTTGCGAGGAATATGTTTTTCCTTGCCTTTTCTCCTTCTGACTCTGTGGACGACTCTGATTCAGGGGTAGAACTTTCTTCCTCCTCCTCAGGTGTCTCCGACTCCTCCTCCTCTTCTGTGGTCTCCGAGTAACTGAACTCTGATTCTGTTTCTGTGTATTCAGTATAGTCGCTTGATTCCTCCTCTGATTCCACGGTGCTTTCTGAAGCTTCTTCTTCTTGGTCCAGAGTTAGTTTCAGATAATCTTTGTCTTCTTCCTCAAGGTCAACGATGCCTCTTCTCTCTGCTAGCCCCCTCACTTTCTTAAAAATCATTGGGAATAGCCTGGCTCTCTTCCACGTTATGGGTGTTGGCTCAGCTGCTGGTGGCTTTTCAATAGTGACAACTACTTCCTCCTCTCTAGGCTCTGTAATTTCAACTGTGGGTTTAACTTCCTCTTCCTGAAAATCATCAAAATGCAATCAGAGTATCAGCTGGGGTATGGTTAGGATGTGACCTTGTCCCACATTAAGGTAAGCAGGAGTGAATCTGCAGGTGACAACTTTGTGCAAGCTATGTAACTGCTCTTAAGTAAACAGTCACATCACACTCTACTGGTTTTCCCCACTGTATATACACAGAAGGTGACCTGACCAAAGTGAATTATTTCATGCTGGCTTATATTAATGACAGCAAATTTAATGCTTTCTCGTTTTTTTCTTATATAAAATTTGTTTTGCATCCCACATAGGAGAGAGAAATAACCATAACGCCTTCTCTTTCTCATTTGTAGACTTTAATATTTTTATGTATTCCCTTTAATATTTTAAATAGCCAGGAAATTTTACTATTTTCTTAACTTACAACAGGATAAAGCTATCATATTTCTCTTATTTTTGAACAGGAAACCACTATGATATTTCTTTGTTGTGTGCATGTTTTTTAAAATAAATGTTCAAGTAAATGTTTCAGGCAATATAAGAATTAACTATGCATGACTCATACTACTTTAAACAAGTATTTCATTAAAAATGTTGGTGACAATATTTTACTTTCTCTCATATCTGAAAAATGGACACTCTACTTTCCACATTGTCCAGCACGCACAAAAAATTAGAGACTGTACTTTTCACCATTTTTTAGGTATGCTGGACAATGTAGAAACAAAAGTAAACATTGTTTTGCAAAATCTTTTATAGATTTTATTTTAACATTATCTTAATGGAGAAACATTTATGGTTTTAGAAAATATAATTTCATTGCAGCTTTATCCCTGGTGTCGAACATTTTATAGGAGGATATAAATTAAACTTATATAAAATTAATTTCCTTCTACAGACAAGACAATGGTCAGCATTATTAAATTTCTATGGAAAACACAGTGAACAGAATTTTTGATTTTTAGAAAACTGTGTAGCCTGTTATGAAAATATGGTTAACAAATTGTTCTTGGATTATTAACCTTTTTTAATAATTAATTAAAGAAGAAAATTACAGTAATTACCTCTTCCTCCTCCTCAGCTTCACCAACCACCTCACCATATTCCTCTTGTTCACCTGGTGGTATCAAGCGACGGCGACTTCCATATTGAGGCATTTCATACCTGAAATAGAAACTTACAACTTTAAACCTTTTTTTTTTTTTTTTTTATGTAGTCTAGGTAGGTTCTACCGTGACTCTTCTTTTTCTTCATCATTCAATCAACAGATACTTATACCTAACTTATTAGGCACCTGGTAAACTAATTGCAAAACCAAAAGGTAGGTACTACAATCTGATAACCAATGATTTTTGCCTTAATGGTACCCTGGAATATCAATAAGAAAAGTCCAGTTATTTCAAAGTAAGTTTTGGGAGAGTCTTTAGGCATATTGTTCCTTAATTAACTGAAAACTTTAGGATACAAAATAGGTTCTTTCTAAAAGTATAATGGCTTCTTCAGACCAAAAAGTCTATCTTTACTGCAAAGCTCTGCTTCTTGTTTTCTTCTCCTGGGCAAATCTTGAGGGTGACTGGTTTGATGAAATGTTAAACATGTCATATAAACAATGATGAATTCAGGAATTGAGCAAATATGATGTCTATTTTTCCCCATTTAATAATTTTGAATAACTTTTACTGCATTCTTAAGAGTTGGAGTCAATATTAACATAGAACATCAAAACGGAACTCAATATAGAAAAATGGTTAAAACCTGACTGAAACTAAAACTAGATTTGTTTCTTATTTTCAAAGATGCAACAAATAAAATCACACATAACATGAATGGTAGCAATAATTATTTACTAATTCTTATTATTCATAAAAATATTAATATGCTGGATTTAAAAAATCTGAAAATGTACCCATGCTCATAACTGTAATAATCTTGTCCATATTCCTGGCCAGGATCAATTCCAGACTCCATGGATAACTCCTATTTTTCAAAAAGAGAAATTGTATTTTGAAAACAAATTCTTATTACATTCCAGCTCAAAGTCAGATTTCCAGACCTAGAATTCGATGACTCTCAAAATATTCCTGTCAAAATAACTTTAATCACAAATGTTAGTCAAACATATCCAATTTTTTTTCTGGCTATGATTGTTTTATACAAAATAAGATTGTTTTTAGAACTGAGGGGGTAAATATGGAATTTTAATAAAGATGAATCTGTTTAAGATTACAAATGAGCCTGTCACTTGTTTTAAAACTATCAAAGGCAGTTAATATTTTACTCTATTTTAACATATTATTAACAGATTTTAGCCTTGAGAAAAATTATAGCGTTATTTTTACCATTATTTCATTGTTCTAGTTTCCTGCTGACTTCTAGATAGTACCCTGAAAACTTTTCAAAAGCTCTTCTTAAGATCTGATAATTACCTTAACATGTGATATTTCCCAAGGATGTTTATATTTTAAAACATACTAGATTTAATTAAATCTATTAATAATTAAACCAATAAAAGCCCTTTTAAGGCTTCTATTTCTAAATTCTAGACAATATCATTTTTTGTCCAACTCTACTCTTATAGAAATGTTTTTTTTTTCCTCCTGAGATATACATATGAAGCTAGTTTTAAATAACTACATTAAGTTTCATTAATTTCCCTTTTAAATTCTATTTTAACATTGAAGTAGGTTGAACAAGTTAAATTAACTTTGCCATGAAGTAAGAAAAGGGAAGGAAGAAAAAGTAATTATCCACAGGAAAATAGGTTGGTACTTTATTTTGAAAGTCATCATATATATATATATATATATATATATTTCTGTTGTTTCAAGGAGATACAAGTTCTCTGACACCATAAATATATCATTAGAAAAACCATGAAATTCACAGCCTGAATAATCATCACTTGTGCTCTGTTTGGCAAACTATCCTCAAATGAGGATTTTTTTTCCATTGATTTATAGAGAGATTGAAAATGGAGAAGGGGAGGGTTGGGAGGGTTGGGAGGGAGAAACACATCTGCTGATTGCTTTCTGAATTAGCCCTAAGTGGGGCCAGTGAGCAAGCCTACAATCCAGACACGTGCCTCTGACCAGGAATCAAACCTAAAATCTTTGTGTGTTTTTTTGTGCAGGCTAATGTACTAATCCTTCAGCAGCACTGGCCAGGGCCAACAAACATAATTTTTTAAATTGAATTTGTTGTCTTTATTCTAATCAGAAATTGCTATAAAAAAAATCTGGAGTTAGATTTCTGCTGAAAAATAAAACACCAACACTGGCCTCATATTTTTACATGTCATGAATTTAGTTAGTGGTACTATTCCTTATAGCAATCATGGTCTCTACTAGTTACTGCTGTGTTCTCAACCATGCAGTGTTACTTCTGTACCCAGAGTCACAATAGGATCTCCCATCTGCTCTTCTGTTTTTATATCTAATAAATTCCATTCGCTTTATATTACTTCCCAGGATGTTTATTTTAGTTTGCAGTGCCTCGGCTTTACTTATATATGATCTGATGACTGCACTTTACAAATGTTTTGCAGAACAACTGTTAGAGGATCCATTTTTGCTGTTAAAACTGCTGCAGTTTACCCACCAGAATAGCGAAGAATAAAAAGGAAAAAATCACCAGTACCACGTTTTGGCAGGGACCTGGAGCAGTGGAACTTTCACATCCTTCTAGAGAGATTATCAATTAGGAAAATGTTTGACAATACTACTAAAGTCCAATAAATGCATATCCTGTTTCACAGAAATTCAGTGTAGTTCCATTTTATACCCAACACAACAGTGTACACCACAATACAGTATTCACAACAGCCAGTGACTGGAACCAATGAACAAGTCCACAAATACACTAAAACGTCACACAACAGAGGAGAATCTCTCAAACAGAATGATGACCAAGGGAAGCCAGGTACAGATGAAGCCTATTATTCTATATTCTGTTCATGGAAATTAAAAACACAAACACAGAAAATGATTATGTACATTAGGAGCCAGGTGAAAAGTTTTCAATTAGCACTAATCACAACTCAGATAACCCTCACAGCCACTGCACAGTGAATGCCTATGTTTAGAAAAAAGGAAATCCTATAATCTATGACATGGATAGATGTTGAGGGCATTATGCTAAGATGGACAAGACAAATACTACCTGGTATTGTATCACCTTATATGAGGAATCTAAAACATATTTCAATAAGAAGTTACACTCATAGAAATGGTAGAAAAGTGGTTGTCAGTGGCTGGGGTGTGGCAAATAGGGAGAGGTTGGTAAAAAAAAAAAAAGTTAAAAACTATGAGATGAATGAGGTCTGAGGTTCTAATGTAAAAGATGGTGACTATATTTGATACCATTGTATTCTATAATTGAAATGTGCTTAGAGGACAGAACTTATATGTTCTCATATATAATACAAGGGAAATAAGTGAGGTGATAGTTGTGTTAATTAACTATAGAGGGGACTCTTTTTACTGAGGATACATGTATCAAATTACCACAATTTGCACATTAAATATTTTATAATTTTGACAATTAAAATTTAATAAAGCTGAATTTAAATATATATGTATAACATTAAAATATTTATCTTGAAGAAGCAAAGAGACCAGGTGAGTAGTCAGGGAAAGGGGAAAAAATATCTGAATGTTGAAGTTGACAGGTGTTCTGGAGAGATACGAAGGAATGTGCACTATGTAAATACTCATCTATTAAATTGTGTGATTTGAACTCTTTTAGGCTGCAGTTTTATTCCAACAAAAAGTGTTCACGGTGGGAAGAGTCAGAAATGAGGTAGAGAAAGACCAATAAGAAATTGGAAAAAGGTAATATATTATTATATATTAATATATATTGGGAGGCATTTAATAACCAACATAATTATACTGGTTTATATAAAATGAATTGGTCTCAAAAATAATGCTTTTAAACTAATTGTTCAATACATGTTTAATCTAATACATACAGAGACTGAGGAAAGACCACCAAACAATTTTTAACTTCGAACCTAAATGTCCATCAATGGAAGAATGGATAAAGAAAATGTGGTATAGACAATGGAATGTCATTCAGCCTTAAAAAGATGAAATTTCTACCATGTGCAACACCATGGATGAACCTTCGGAACATGTCAAATGAAAAAAGTCAGTCATAGAAAGACACAAGCAGAATGATTTCACTTTTATGAGGTATGTAAAATAGTCAAACTAAGAAGCAGACAGAATCATCATTGCCAGAGGGTGAGGAGAAGGGGAAAAGGGGTATACAATTTCAATTAAGAAGTTCTAGAGAACTATATTTTGCTTATAGCTAACACTATTATTAAACACTCAAAAATTAAGAGAGGAGATCTCAAGTTGGATGTTCTTACAATTAATTACTTGGAAGTTGAATTTTAATAATTTTTAGCAATAATTAAAAATAAGTAAACAATGCAACTGAGTATATCTCAGATTTTAAAGTTAGAATAAAACACATTTTTTTTTAGACATGTACTTCTTTTTCCTAAAGGAAGAATAAAGCTCAGCTTTTGCTAGGTACAACATACAACATATATCTAGCATCAGATGCCTTTAAGAAAATAAATAGAATAGAAGCAACTGGGAAGGAACCAGGAAACTTAGCCCTTGATTCAATTAGTCATCTGCAATCTGAGTTGGAAAGGAGCCAGTAAAGAGAATAACCCGAAGGGCCCCCCTTAGAGTCCCGTGGCACACATTACTGAAGGGCAGAGCATCACCTCTTTTTTTTTTTTTTCTAAAAAGACCTGGTGACCTTTCAGATTCCTGACTCACTGGAAGAGACACCAACATGTTCCATGCAGCCCTTGCTACCCTTAGCAGGAGGTGAATCCCAAATTTAGGAAATCATGCTCAGTAGCATACTAAAAAGTGAATTTATGGGCAGATAAAACACTAAATGTTAATTTTTAAAATTTATTTTAGCTAAGATAATAACATTTTTTGATAAAAAAATTACATAGGGAAGGCATAGAAAATTAATTTCTTGACCTAACAAAAAAAAAAAAGCCCCCCCACACACAAAAAAAGACCAATTACTGATTTTTCTTCCTACTATGCTCAAGTTGCTGGGCTGGGAGTTAATATGTTAAATTTTACTGCCCACATTTTATAGAAGATGAAATTGATGCTCAGGAGGGT